ACACACACACACACACACACACACACACACACACACACACACACACACACACACACACACACAAAGATCAGGGGATGAAGGTTGCACAGATGCCAAGAGGCCTGCAAAGGACAGAATAGTGATGTAAAAGTTGCAGCCAAAAGGATCTGGAAGAATCGGATGTGATGCAATCACAGGGGCCCCCCAGAAGATGAGAGCACAGTCCAGTGCACTCTTTCCAGAATACAAGAGAAAAAAAAGATTGCCTTCAAAAATCCACATTTATGATTCGAATTCACTCCAAAATTATTAATCCTAATCCCAAAAACATCCTCTACTCCTCATAAGCAATTTTACTCTCAGAATGCTGTGTAACAAATCCTAACTAAAGCAAGCAAAATAAATAAATAAATAAAAAAAGAAGCACAATTCATGGTTTCTTTCCACCTTCCTGGATTTGCACAAATCAGTGTGTCAAATGTGCTGAGCTGCTTCAGCAGACAGTGATTTCTTCCCTACTGCTGTGGAAAATACAGACAACCCAGATTTAAAAAAAAAGGAACAGGCTTTGAGTTTCACATCACAAAGAGCAGCTTGACTAAAGAGTTTTTACTGCATCCTGTTGAGGTCATTATTTAAGCTGCAGTGCCTCCAACAGAGCCGTGTGGAACCAGCTCTAAGGGTCACATTTTTACTGCAGCGTAAAGCTAAAGTTCCCCTTCACCAAAAGAAAAAAAAAGAAGAAAAAACAAACAATAAAACCCAGAAGTCTGAAGGAAAAGACAGATTTTTTTACCCACACTTAATTATAAGTGAATCTGTTCACATACGCCACCTGAAATACATCCACTTTCCACGCTGACGCTGCTCTTCACGACGTCGTTTGACGYTGCCAAATCTATCGCATCATAAACACAAATAAGGAAGAAATTTAAAGAGAAGCTACTGAGTGGAATATATGATTTGAGGTTTGCTCGTGTGATTGGAAAAAAAACACACCCATCTTCRTCATTTAAAAGAGGAACTGGGAGAGTCACAGATCTCAGATCTCTAAACACCAGGTTTTATCACACAATGATTACATTTTTTGGACAAACATATATCTTTCTGAGTTAATAGCAACTACGCCATCAAATACAGCAGTGGAATTATTCTTTTCCTTTAAAGGAAGACTTCGTGTACTGTAAATAGGAGGGTTTTAATGGCTGTAATTGGCAACAGTGGAGGCTGAAAATAATCCTCTGCTTTGGGAACACAGACTGTTCCCTGGACTTGGCAGTAGCTTTCAACAGATGTTCAAACATAAATCATAAAAAGACATTACTACAACTCTTCAAAAGGACAATTCAGAGCTTATGTTGAAACTATTCATTTTGTCGTTTATTCATTGGCTATTTTTAATAAGCTGCTGGTGTGAGGCTCAAGTTATCACTTTTTAACCATCAGAACATAAACTAACTTTTAAATTACCCCTCATTTTAGTTTTAATGCAAGAAAACTCACAAAAATACATATTGGTACACTAAAATATCACAATATTTCATTTCCTGATACAGTATCAATCCTCAAAAGCACTATTAATTTTTAATTGAAGGGGACATATGGTGCAAAATCKRCTKTTTTAGCTGTTAAATTCATTTTGTTGTTCACTTAAGAGTCTGTAGGAGCGCAGAAAAGTTGAATTTACTTTCCCTCAATGCTGTGTAGATATCTTTATACAGAGGTTTATAGTAACTAAGTACATTTACTTCGTTACAGTACTTTAGGTTTTTTTTGAGGATTTGTAATTTTACCAATTATTTTTTGAAACAGCTACTTTTACTTTTATTTTGTTATATTTTAAAGCTAAAAATGATACTTTTACTTCTTTATTTTAAAATTAAACACTTGTTACAAAATTAAATACATTTGAACTCATCATGAAAGAAGTTTCTGCTCTAAAAGATGAAGTGTTGAATTTACTCAACAGTCATGTCAGCTGGCTCCACTGAGCCGCGTTGAGTAAACTGAGCAAATAAAATACATATATTACTTAATTTACTCAGACTGGTTTAGTGGAACCAGGTTGGTTCAGTAAATTCAACAGTTTAATTTTTTACAGAGTGTGTAAAAGTACTTTTACTTTCCCAATTTTTGTGAACAGTTTTTAAGACTTTTACTTGGGTAGTTTTCTCATCAGTGAAATTTATTTTTTATCAAAGTCATTTTCTGTTCAAGTAATTTTACTTAGTTATTTTTTTCAAATACTTTATGGAGCTCAGCTTAAAATGTCTAAATAT